ATTTATCACTGTTGCTTTCAAAGTCAATTGTATTGTTTTATTGAGCCTAAATAAGCGTTATACCTCTCTGTATAATCATATTCCATCTTTACATGTGTTTCATCATGTAATATTTAAATACTTCTAAAATAACTAAATTAAATTACAAAAATAAAATATAAAGTTGGCGTTTTACGCATTCGGCGATGGGTCGTCCAAGCGTATTAGCTGAAAGGACAGGTTGGCACGCTTGTATGGGCGGAGCATAGACTTGAAATTACTTAAAATTCGACAGCATAAAATTAAAAATTGCAAGAAATTGCAGATAATGACGCTGCAGATAAAGCCAATAGTCCTTGAAGACATGCCTTCTGACTATTCTTAAATACTGACGAACACCTAACCAACAATATATATACATATTTTTTTCTTTGCTAAAGTCAGCGTGGAGAATAGAAAACCCCTTTTCACCTGAAAAAAATTATATGAATTTGACATCTAGCAATGTCTGTTTCTAATTACATCAACTGTTTCTGTAAACGCTTTAGGTGAAATTTTTTATTTCATAACATTTGAATCCTCATTTACAATCCACAAATTTTAATGTAGTGTACACGCACGTTAAAAATAACACCAAACTGGCAACAAAGCGTTAATACCTCTGCCGGACTGTTGATTTCTTTCAGATCCTGCGTTTATTGTGCATCCCTAGTTTTTTCGTCAAAGTCTAAGAATTACGTTTTCTATTTTAGATTATCTTCCTTATTATTACTTTGTGCTAAGTAGTATAAGGTTCAAATTAAAGCTAGAATCATATTAATAGATTCCACGAGATGCAACGTTTTATGCACTCTTAAAAGTCATGGTAGAGTGCCCGACTGGATATTTAAAAATACGAGATCAAATGCCAGTTTTCAAGAATGCCACCAAAATAACCAAGAAAAGACATTTCTGCCTATAAAATCTAGAGTATTGGCCCGATTCTTATGAAACCTGTTCACAAAGTTTAAAGGTCATGGTCCAAAGTCGCGTACTGTGGCATTAACCAGTTCCTGACTCCTCAGACCGGATTTTGAGCAGATTCCTCACATGTTCCCTGATGTGTAGGTAGTGTACAAAGATCATGCTCGGGGTGGATCACAATGCAATTCTGAACCACACTGATAAGTTCTTTAAGGGCTGTGTGTGTCGGTGAAATTGACTCGTATGTCCTCTGCTTGAGTGCAAGTAGATCAAGGCTAGAACTGTCAACGTTGGTAAGAAGCATTGTACCTGTCGTACATGAGGACAGCAAACCTTTCAAAACTTCAATATTTTCATCACCGTTACTGACTCAGCTTCGCAAAGGTGTTGCCAACTTCACCAAACATATTCCATGTCTGCCATGGCCACTTCCTGTCCTCTCCATGAATGGCAGAAATAGCATTATGCCCACTCAAGCCGTGGCAGAACAGCAGTCTTCTTGATTTCATAAGCGTCATAGCAGTCCCCATATCAGTATTCCTAACCGGGGTTCCACTGACCATCACCAGGCGTTCCACAAGAAACCGTAAAAAAATGATGTGCTATTACAAGATGATAGTGATCTGAATTCCTAATTTCTACTCAAACAGGACATCACAGTTACTTTCTTGACACCAACATACTCTTCGTGTCAGTCTGTACAATGTATAGTATACATTCTTCCGTATATACTCTAATATAGTATATTTAACTCCCTTATATTGTATATGGTTCTTTGGAATATGAAAAATTATTACAAAAGTTCCTCTAAGGTTTAAAGGTTGGGAATCTTCGCCCTATGTTATGTACTGAAATCTATCTAGCAGTGACTCCTTGGTCGTAAGTTTCGAAAGACCAAGTTCCTCCAGTGAAGAAAAGATAGATACAATTATCAACCACAGCTGTTATTATCTTCGATGATCACTACTTTGTACCGTTTCAAATGGGCATCTCTGGTATATACGAAGAGTCGTGTTTGCCTCTTCATGGCGAAATGGGAAGACTCCTGAAAAGTTTATTGCCAAGTTGTAGACAGTATTCTCACCCTTTGCCACAATGATACTGCTAATTCTTTTTATATTCAATATTGTCTGCAAGGATCAACTCCTGTTCATTTCATCTCTCAACAAGCTTTTCCAATTGTTTCGAGTTCTTGCTCTTTCAACCCTTCTCCTGATACATTTCCCTCGCTTGGATTTAAAAATGAAAAAAAAGGCTTTCACCTGAAAGACCTTCCATGCAGGTTGGACGCCAAGGAATGTACAGATCACCATCCCCAACCACGTGGTGTGTTGCATTAAACCAATGGTAAACAAAACTTTAATTCATGCTTAAATATATATTGTATATAAATGAGTTTGTTTTGAGGTGGATTCGGCCATTATTTAGTGGCCGATGTCTTCAATAATGTCCGAGTAGGTCCAAAAACACCTGTGATTTCGAAGACAAAAGGTTCAAAGATATGTCGGTTTGTAAGGGATTGGTATTTATGCTTGGATCGTGTCTGACATGACCGTCCTTCTCTTAGAGGTCGTTTACAGTAAATTTCAGCTTGGTACTGATCTCTTCTCTAGTATAGTCATTAAATGTCTTTCATGGAGGTAATGAGCCATCAATGACCATAACTCCTTCCATTGGTTCGGAGTCTGATGGAGAGAACTCTGCTTCAAGTATAAGCCTGATTTTTATGTTTGTAGAATTCTAAGTCACACTGTCTACTTCAATAAGAAATTAACGTCTTGGAAAGAGCTGACAGTTCTGAAATGGTAATACCTTCTCCTTTGAACTATTGAGCAGTGGACGAGGCTTGAAAAATGCTGTGTGAATCTTCTTAATTGGCTGAAAGAATATATTTTTGATCCTCTGAGGATCTTCCATTAATGCTTTGAACTAGGCCTTGCCTCTTTTGTTACGGTGACTGGGGCAGCAGTA